ATTACTACCTTCGGTCCTTTTCCCTGTTTTCTAGTTCCTGTTCCAGAAGAGTACGGATATTTTCCCTGAAATTCTAATTTGCCAAAAGCACATGGACATTCTCTTTATTGTAGAGCATCCACGCTAGCCTTACCCAGTGGCCACCTAAATTGCTCCTCACCATGCAGTGACCACACTAGCTACTTACAGGAAAGATTCAGTTGCCCTTTCATTTAGTGAATGACACTAAATGAAACACTAAATGAAAGTAACACACTTTCATTTAGTGAAATTTTGAATCTTTGCAGCACCTTGCTTTGCCTCCATCAGCCAGACAAGCCTGTGCTTGTTCTTAAGTGCAAGCTTGTGCAGATAATCTGCCAGAAATATCTTGGATACCCTGGGTAATCTGTCAGTGCACATAAATTCATGGGTAGCTGAACAGAGCCCCACAGTCCAATGATGGATGTTTAGATATTTCATAAACCTGTAATTCAGAGACATCTACATTTTGGTGACTTAGCTTACARTCTAAGATTTTGTTGCCAGCTGTGTCTTCCAGCACAAGTATCATATATTGTTACTGGGAAAAAGTAATGCTAGGGATTTTGAGATATGTAACTAAAGACAAATTCTGTTAAAATTGTTAGATGTTCTGAAACAAGTGACAGAGACCATTTTTTCCTTCTGGTAACTCTAGCCATAATGCTCTGAGGAGTCTGGTACTCCTTATTTGTGAGTATTCTTGCAAAGAATGCATATATAAAGTAAATAATGTCTTGCTCCCATAAATCATTTCTGAATGAAGGCATATTTTTATTCATATACAAAATGACAGAAAGAAAAAAGAAAACAACAATGGAGAATCAAACAACAAATAAAGAGAAAAAGGAAAATTGTTTATTCTCAGTTTTCTCCATATTGCTGAACATGTCAAAAGTGCTGGCTTTCATCTCAGTTCAGCTCCCCATAGCTGGCTGCCAAGTATTAAGCAGAGTAACCATTTGCATGCTTTTCACACAGCGTAATGACAACTAAACATTATTCTATCTGAAAAGCTTGTGGATATATTCCATCCTTTCATTTGTATTTTCCTATAAGCAAAGATTCTTAATGGAAGACAGAGGAGATCGTACACTCAATTGATACATTTGGAACTACTTTATTCATAGTTCAAGCACTATTTTCTACATGGTCTAAACAGTGTAACTACTGAATTACAATATGTAGTGTAAATATTCAGTGAAAGGGAGAAAGAAGCAAAAGTATTTCACAAGTTAGACAGCAAGTATAGGGCTATCAGTGAAACCTTCTAGTATCTTTAAAGTTGATGTAGGACCTCAAAAGATAGCTAGGATTCATTAAAAAAAAATAGTATGGAATTCTTATCCAAAAGCCACTTCAGAGTCCAAATACACTTGACATTACTAAAGAATATCGAGGTCTGGATACCCCTCTTTTCTGTCTTTAAGACTGAAAGTTGTAAAACAGACTTAATGCTTTTTGTTCGCCTAGCCAATGCTTATGGATTGATGCATAAGTGATAGGATGTAAAGAGTAGCCAAAAGAACACAGCAAGCATAAGGAAGTTTTACAGCAATAGCGAAAGCATGGAATAAAAGCTGATCTGATTTTAGAGCGAGAACAATTGGCAAGAATTGTGGTAGCAGCACTCTCAGGAAGATCAAAGAGACTTTGGTCCTATTATAATCAGTAATTTCTTAGTGCAAAAGGAATTAGAAAGCAATAAAGACACAAGTCATCAAGACAAAGCACTCTCAGTGAATAAAATAAGTGCTAAAACATAGGTGATCAGAGCAGCAAGAATGAGAGATTCTTCATTGTAACATAAACTGGTTAGGATGAAAGGAGGGAAATTATTTTGAATCTCTTCTAATTGAATATGTCCCTTTGATTAATCAATTACCATCTATTTTTGAATAATTTGTAATTCAATATCTTTTATAAATCAAAATGCCTAGTAAAATTAATTCACATAACCTGCATGACATTGCATTTATGTGAATCTGACAATTTCCCATATTTCCATGTACTTCAGTGTATTTCATTTGTTTTGTAAAAAACAATTTAAATGCTTTCACAGGTGTWTGCAAGACTGAAGCCTTGAACGGTAAATTAGGCAAAGTATGATGAATAAGAAAAATAAAAAGTTGTTCAGGGAAGATTATGTAAATTCCCTATTTTTTTGTATGTGAAGCTTGACTTAAAGATTTTGCATTGCAGCAGTATTATTTCCCCTTTCATATGAGCAACTTGGCCATACTAGCATGAAATATACTCTGGAGTTAAGCCATRAGAGGTTACCTTGTGAAAAAAGATCAAGAAACAATTTGCATGTATTTAAGAGAGCAGAAGGAAATAAGATTAATGCCTTTCACATCCTGCCTAGCAGCAAATGCAGAGCTTCTTTTGGTTTAAACGCATCAACTGGCAAAGTTTTGCAGGTATGACAATGCTAAAAAGCTTGTTTGTGCAAAAGAACAGAGAGCCAAGGAAGCAAGCAGGATAAAGCAGTACCAGAATGTGAGGCTCTTCATGGAATAAGATAATTGTGCCTTGATGTTCAATGCCTTGATGTTGAAGATTTGGAATCTAGACTTTCCCAAAGAGGCAACAAAGGAAGGAAGTTAAAGTATGTGAAGTGGTGAGAAATTCCTATTCTAGCTGCAGCGGCAAGACACAGGAAAGATTAAGCAAGTGTYGAGGTGAGAAGTCTAGCAGATGTTATAGTACCATATAGGTTAATTAAGCAGGGGAAAGAGTGAGATTTTACAGCACAGTTATTATGGTATCATAAAAAGGATGTAGTGATGATACAGGTTATTGAAAGAATTAACAGATACTCTTTCAAAAGTGATGCAAAAACACGTCTATCTGTGTTCCTTTTATTTTGATCTGTTTATAATTGTCTGCTTTTCTGAAAATTCATGTCAGCACACAAATGAAATTAAAATTCTATTACACTTCAATTAAACGTGAGTTTTGCACAAAGATTTAAAGTTGCTACTTACTAAAAAAATGCATAGGTTTCACTTACTAAGTAGTATTTTCTGCACTTCTGCATCTTTTTTTTTGTTTGTTTGTTTCTCCACCTATAAGGCTTTTAATATGAAGTTTATTTTATTATAATCTCTTTTGTGATACTACTGACCCCAAAATCTCTTACCCTCTTACCTGGCATTAAATTTTTTTTGGTTTCTAATACCAGTTAACTTGTAACAATCATATCTGCTCGAATATGCWCATTCAATGATTTTAAACTCTGAAACTATTTACTGTTTTTATAAATCAATTTACTCAAACAGCTGCAAAAATGTCTTCATTTTAAGTATAGTAGATGATTGCAACATTTTAAAATTTAGTATATGGTGTACTTTAACACCCTTTTGACGATATATCATTAAAAGCTAAATGAGCATAGCAAAATAATAAAAAGAACTTCAGAGCATAGAAGAAAATGCCATAATGTAATTTCTGTAAAGCCAGGTGCATAATTTTGTTGGTAAAAAGAAACACTCCACATCAGATCTCATACACATAYCAACTAATGTGTTTAAAAAAGTTTGCAAAAAAAGAGTTTGAAACTAAATAAAAGTCTCTTCTCTTTCATCACTTAGTGCCTATCGTTCAAAAATGAACTCCTTGACAGTTTATATTACTTCATAAAAGCCACAAAATAATTATGCTATCATTTCTCAGTTGTTGAGTAGGATGATCTACCAGACAAATTCTTACTTCATATCTTTTTTTTTTTTTTTTCAGTACAAAGTTTAGTTTATGGTACGGTTTATGTCCTTTGGTATGACAGGAGCTATAGAAAATGAGTCATTATCTTTTGTAAAATAGCTACAGAAGCCCTATATCAGTGGTAGAATGGCTCCTTTTACCTAAGTTTTCCCATAAAGAACATTCCAGAACATTCATGACCTCAAGAAGTCTGATATATGGATAATAAGTACTTACTGAAACAGCAAGCAAATTCTACTTTGTTCTTGTATGGAATATCGCAGTTGAGGTAGTTACAAAGAGTTGTAAAAAATTTACTGTTGTAAAAGATCACAGTTGCATAATAAAAATTGGTCCTACTCTTCTGCCAGTTGTAATGTTTAGCTCATTAATGAATTACTTTTAACATACTGAGGACCAGATCCTGCAAACATTTATGTACAGTAACTCTGCTTTGTTCCTTGTAGAGAAATGTAAAAGAAATACCTTAACTTTGCATTGCTAGGAACACTGCAAAAAAAATTATGCTAGCAGAAAAATAGAAAATTGCAACCACAGAAAGGGTTAGTGTTCCCTGAAGACCCACTGGTTCACTGTAGATACTAAGAAGTATTATTTACACTAATGCGTGTGAAAAAGCAGACAGTATTACCAAATACTAATGAAGATCAATTTTCATTAGCACTTCATCATTTTAATGATCCTGTTACAAATGGTGAGATTCCCAAGTTAATGCCTCAGATGMTTTCACTCTTATGCAAAATTATACTTGTTCATAAAAAAAGTGGATAAGAATCTTGAGGAGGTTAATTAAACCCTTAATAAGCCAATGCATTCAGAAATAGGTAACATGAGATAACAATGATAAAACTATCCTATTAAATAGAAACTTACTCACTGTTTTACAAATCTGACTTATACAACCGTAGAGGCAAATAAATATTTAATTATAAAAACATTGTTTCTGCATCTGTTACATTATCTTTCAAAATACTAGGAGCCTTTAAAAGCTAAGTATTTCCACGGTGCACACTTGGAGTAGGTATCTCCTGTAGCTGAATTCGACTAGAATTATACACACTATATAATACCTATACTCTAATATACTACACTTTGACATAACTGTTCCCACAGCTGAATTTATTATTTGTGAAAATATGAGCTACCTTTTTACTAGAATATTTTGTTGGCGTACAATGGTCCTTGCTGTTTCTCTACAACTTAAATCTTTTTTATTCTTAAGAAAAAAAAAAAAAAAAAAAGTTTAAATGTACCTTGGTAATGAGCACTAAATCCACGGTATCGGTGGTTGCTGTCCGTTACAAAATGCAGTCTGAGCCAGTTTTTGTTGCTGATAACTGGGGGAGGTATGTTCATTCCAGAGAGCCTGAATTGAGATAATCAAATAAATAATGTTAATATGTTAATAAAAGACATAAAAATTTATCAGAGCTGAAGATCATTAGATTGTTAGARAGATTTGATAATGGTCCTATATGGATTTTTTTTTTTTTTAAACACACATGCATTGACATGTTTATGCACAGTTCATAAAGAAAAGGAATGAGACTTTTTATGCCTCCAAGAATAGTATAGTATGCCACGTGTTAACAGTCTTGTTCACTCTGCAAGACCAAGTGATGAGAAAAAAAGTCAATGCTGGTCCAGAAACCACATTATTTGTCAGTCATGGCAAATTTGTGCCTAAGTCAGAGGCTAAGTGCCTATCTAAGTCAGAGCACAGGTTAGGCAGAGCACTGCTCTGGCTCCCAGAGAAAGGATCACACCCAGTGATCCTTATGTTCAAGATGTGGAACAGGAGAACTTAAGTTATGTAGAACCTAAACCAATAAAATAGCCTCCTATTTTTCAAGAATAACTATTTTTCTAAAYCCAAGAGTCAACAAAAGGAATACATCTTCCCCCACTTCCATGAATATTTGTTATTAAAGGGATAATGAAGAGGGATCTTTTGTTGTTTTGTTTTGTTCTAATTTCAGAATATTTCTCCAATCAAAGTATTTTTTTCTTTATTTATTTTTTTTCCCAAATGCTCATTAGGAGACTATTTATATTTATTATTAATAGATATGATGCTATAGCTGAAAAATAAAAATGTAAGTAACCTTCTGATAAACAGTGCTTCTATTAAGTCAGTTACCAAGGAAAACATTTCCCACTAACAGGAGTAGACACATCTTCAGCATATCTATCTATGATATGGATGTCAGTATATCTATCTAGATGCTTCCATTTATTTGATAAACAAGTTGATAACACATTGATAAACAAGTTGAACAGCAATTTCTACTTAGTGTGGAAACACTAAGTAGAAATGGGACTTGAAGGGATATTTCAGAATATTTCAGAATATTTCAGAATATTTCACGGTGCGGTGGATCGAGGGCTGGCTGGATGGCAGAGCTCAGAGGGTGGTCATAAATGGGGCCGAGTCCAGCTGGAGGCCTGTGGCCAGTGGNCATCTTCAGCATATCTATCTATGATATGGATGTCAGTATATCTATCTAGATGCTTCCATTTATTTCTAAAGAGAGTTCTTCCTGTAGTTAGAGTGAAATGCTAGGCAACAAGTATGCAGTCACAAATTTAGACATCATGGATTCCTCTTCTGCTTTGAGAAAGAAAAAAGCTATAATGAAACAAGTCATAAAACTATTCAGACATACCACAAGGAATATATTCTGTTTCTTCTGTTTTAAGACTAACCTTAGAAGTAGCTTTGCAAATTATGATTATCAATATTGATATTTCAATTTTATAAACAGAGAAAGTAATGAGCTTAAAGGGAAAGCAAGGTGCCCMAAATCATCCATCTGGTAAGTAACTAAAGAAAATTGAAAGAGAAGTCTGCAAGTTTGCAGCTCCAGCTTTTAAAACTAACGTCAAATCAACTTTACTTAGTAAAATAACTGCAGATATTTTTTTCAGAAGGCACAGTCCTACCTCACATTAAGTCAGGAAATTAGGAAGATGTCTCAACATAATTTCTTTAAAAAATGAGTTTATTTCAATAACATTTTTCAAATGAAACATTGTATTATTTTTCATCCTTTCTTTAGCAATAATAATAGAGGAATGCATTGACTAGACAGAAAAGTGGCGTCCTCCAAATCCATGTGCTTTGCCTTACTAATATCCATGTATACCCTTTCCAAAACATACTTCCCAGGAGTTATTTAATGACTTAATGATTCAAGGTTTTAAATCATATTGTGATAGTAATAGATAATAGCAAAGCCAGATAGAATATAGTAATGTAAATTAATAAYAAATTCCAAAAAATAATCACAGGTGTCTGAATCCTAGATTTTTCTTCTCTAGTTTTCATAGAGGACMTGGATTTAAGTGTAAGCTTAGTCCTTGCTTGGAGGCAAGTAGAACTAACTGTTCAGCTCCACTGGTGAAAATGAATGCTTTTTGGATACAAATCCCTAGGATCAATTTCTATTTATGGTGGCCTATTCAAGTGARTTGTATGCTTTGTTTGGTAGGATTCTATTCTCCAACTATAATCATATTATTCTAATCTATATCATACTTCTCTTGGAAATGCAATAGTCTCTTTCTTAATAAATGCCTTCCTAGATTCCTCAGAGGGGATCTTCTCCTGATTACCTCCATAACTTGATGTAAATCCAGGAGGAAGCTTCTGAACAAATTGTCCTTCCCAAATTCTAGAACCCTTGAGTAGGCTTGGGAGTGGCAAGGTGGAAGGGAGGAAAGGGATGTAGTTGAGACCCAAGAAAGTGTACATGCAAGTTTCAATAAATACTTTCTACTGAATAATTGTCTTGTATAAAACTAATATATTAGAGCTTAATTATTTCCTTGAATTCTTTCCTACGTTAAAAAATATTTAATAAGAATGTGTGATAGCTTTAAAAATCATATCCAAGAATACTCATGTTTTCAATTCTCTGGATTTCAACAATTTCCACTTAAAATATAGTTACAGATTGCAGTTCAACTTGGAAGCCATATACTTAACCTTGAGTTATGAGTCCTCATCCATGAACAGAAGCAGCAAACCTGGGTTAGATTTGAGCCTGTTCTTGGTAACAATGATAAATTGTCAGAAGTAACTCAACATGCCTGTCAAAGCTGGAAACACTAAGTAGAAATGGGACTTGAAGGGATATATCACCATACATCACTATCCAGTGCAAGATCTTGTTTCCACGTAAAAGAGAAATATTATATTATAAAGCTCTCACTATACATTGCACTTTGGCAATATGAAGGTATATTACAAAAGCCTACAAAACTGCAATGTAATGAGAAGCACAAAAAAGGTGGGCCTAAGCTTACAAAGCCACAGTAGTAAGCAATTTGAAGCCACTATTATTCATAATAAAATGTGCACTTTGAAACTGATCTTTTTTAGAGAAGAAAATATTAAAATGCATCTTATTGCATTTTATTTATTGCATTTATTTAAATGCATTTTATTTTATTTTATTTTATTTTATTTTATTTTATTTTATTTTATTTTATTTTATTTTATTTTATTTTATTTTATTTTATTTTATTTTATTTTGTTGCTATGAGATTACAGGATACATATCAGCCTCACTGTGGCAATATCCGACAATCTTTAATATATTTACCCAGAGAGCAGATAATGAAGTGTTTGTCCATCTTGTGTGAAACTCTTGTCCTCCTGTCCCCACAGAATTTTTAATCATTTCTGTGCATGAATCTGAATGTCCCAATCTAAGGAACTACAGTTTCCAAACCACTTGGAAGGCAGAATCTAAGTATTCTGTTCAAGTTATCCAGTCGGCTCAAGCTAATAAGACTATTCCTAGCACATTTTCCTATGAAAACACAATCAGAAACACCAACTAAAGTGTCTCTCTCTTTTTTTTTTTTTTTTTTTTTTTTTTTTAAACTGGCACGTAAGAAGCTAAAACTCTCGTTCAGGAAACTGAACAAGCCAGTTCAACCCTTATTTCCCACAAAAGGATGGGATCCCCTAATGTGACCTAACTTAGTTATTTTCCACGTAAGACGTCATGTGTACAGACAGGCAGTTTCCATATGCATGTGTAGTCRCATATGTGCAATTTCTAGCACTCTGTTACTGTACCATGATGCAGAAAGGATTAAACCAGAAAGAAAATGAAAAAAATTGTAATATCAAGTAATTCTAATATCAAATTAGTACCTATGAGATAAAATGTCGACAATCATTAAGTTCTATGAAACATTTTCATTCTGGTGAAACTTTTAACTAAAGGCAAAGAAGCTACCTGCAAAACCCCTAGCTGTTATGCCAGCTGCTCAGTCTGGTGCTACTTTGCCCCATCCTGCCAGGCTGGCAACTGAGCATCTATTTGCCTGGTTATCGAGCTGTTTGGCTTATTAGTCTTGGTTCTTCCAATCCCCTGGAAATTTCATAGAGCTCTAAGCAATAGTGATACCCAGAATTTCATTTTAAAAAAAATAAATAAATAAATAAAAAAGAAAAGAAAGCCAAAACATATCAAGTCCCTTTTTGGGTTAGCTTTACTTTATTTTGCATTATTGTTGTTGTTGGCTTTTGGATTGCATTTATGCATTGCTCTATAGTGCAATAGCTGTTAGAACTGTGCTTTGTATTCATGACAGTGACTTTCTTATAAGAAAACATGAAATCTTTCTGGATTTTAACTGTGAATTTGTCCATGAAACACACTTTCTAAATGTTCCTTAACAATTTCAGTGACTTAAATTGTTACAAAAATCTTATTACAAGATAAGTAATATACTATATAGACTGATACTTGGGTTTTGGAATTAATTAATTAGTTGCACGTTTCTGTACAGTTATTTCTCTTTATAATATTACCTAATGATGCAATGTAAAATAATTCTTTTATTTAAATTCTCACCTCTGCAGCTAACACAGAAGTAAGAAATATTCACTACTTATGTATTCAAGAATAAACCTATTACTAGAAGAGGTCTCACTGAACAACTGAAACAAAACTAAGATTTATGTCCTATTTCCTAGCAACTACTTTGAGCAGCATATATTCTGCCTATAGCAAAATTCCTCCTTAATTGTTGCTAAAAACATGTGAAAGTTAAATTAAAAGTTAAAATGCAAGGCATGAGAAAACTATGCCCTAGCTATTTAAATATTCTCATGGGGAAAAAAAGAATGTGTTTTATTTTTAAAAWATGTAATATCTAGTTAAGTCTGTCTATCAAGTCAATAGTTCATTAACACGTTTATCCTTGACAGCTAGGGGTTATATTTAAGATCATTCTAATTAAATATGTGCTGATATTGGTTGAGTTCTAACTAAATTCACACTTCCAAAAATCTGATCTTTATAATTTGTGATTTCTAGGGGGCTTGTTCCAGAAAGTAGATTTGCA